AAAAGGTCCTATGTGCTAGATATTGAGATTTTTCACAATACAGAAGAGCCACTATTTAGTATCTTTTACAATACAGAAGAGATACTATTTAAAGCATGTAATATTCAGAATGGAGTCCTGGTGTGGCGCTGTGGGTTAATGCGCCAGACTGCAAATCCCTTTGAATTGCAAGATTGGTGGTTCAAGCTCACCAGCTACTCCTTGGAAACACTATTCAGGGTCACTATGGGTCGGAATCAACTCGATGGCACTTAACAACAATAACAATATTCAGAATAAGTGTTAGTTTCCCTTGCTTTTTCTTAGTTTCTAGAGTTAGTATTGAGTCGTGCTGTGGCAATGTAGGATAAGTACTGCACTGCTTATTGAAAGGTCACCAGTTCAAACCCACCAGCTGCTCATCAGACATCCTAGAAAGGATCGCTATGAGTTGGAACTGACTTGACAGTACTTAACTATTACCACTAGAACACTTTTTCACTGTGTGGTAGTCTTACTTCATAAAGAGTCCTGGTGTGGTATTTGTAGGATAAGCACTAGAGAGAAAGGTCAATTTGAACCGTGAGTTCGGCGGTTCACACTCTCCAGCCGCTCCTCAGAAACCCTATACAGGGTCACTATGAGTCAGAACCTATTACACATCGTTTAACAACAGTAACATATTTCATAAAGATTATATCATATATAGAAAACCTATATATGGAGTCCAAGTGTGGCGCTGTGGGATAATGCACTGCATCACAAGGTTGATTTGAACCATAAGGTTGGCATTTCAAATTCATCAGTTGCTTCTTGGAAACCCTATACGGGGTCAGTATGAGTTGGAACTGACTTGATGGCACTTAATAGCAGCAACAGCAATGGCGACCACTACTAGAGTCAGTATACCTATAGTCTCACTCCCAACACTACGGGAACCTTTGTTGTTGTTAAGTGCCATCAAGTTGTTTCCAACTCATAGTGACCCTGTCTAGAGTTTCCAAGGAGTGGCTGGTGAGTTTAAACCACCGATCTTGAGGTTCAAACTGACATTGTGATCAAGTGCTTATCCTACAGCACCAATTCAGGACTCTTAGTCTTAGTGGGCTTTGGTAGCGTAGTGGTTATGAATTAGGCTGTGAACCGCAAGGTCAGCAGTTTGAAACTACCAGCTGTTCCGCGGGAGCAAGATGAGGCTTTCTGCTCCCAAAAAGATTTACAGCCTCGGAAACCCTGTACAGGGTCGCTGTGAGTCAGAACCGACTCCACGGTACGTAACAACAAGAAGTCTTAGTGGGACTTCTTAGTCTTCGGGGGAAAAAAAATGTGTTTTGTTCATAGAAGATTTCTCATATGTGCAAAATACTGAGAAAGAACACAAACACTATCTTCATAGCCAAAAAACACTAACAACCCATTTCCAAGTGAGAGCCTGAACCAAACTGTCTGAAGAAGACAAGGTCTTTGAGACTTCTCCCTCTCTGTGTTCTCCACATCAAAACACAGAGTGGCAAAATGACAAACATTGTCCACTTGTGACCGAGTCCTGGTACATAATGGGAAAAATGCCACGAGAGAATAGGCAAGGTTAAACTGCCCATTGGCTGGCATATTAAGTCAACCTATTTGACTGAGAAGGAAGATGGTTCAAAGACAAAAAAAACCAGGATGGTTCTTAAATTCATTTATCAGATCCACTGAAACTATCTCCCATCTCTCACTAATTAAACATGAAATGGACAAGACCAGACAGTCTTTCTGTTACATGTGATTTATAATTTTGCTTGAGTTCCTGTTTCAACAAGGCAGCAGAGTGTACAGAATAGAAACTGTGCACTACAAAAGCACACACGCATTTCTAAACTATTACTGTCTCTGGGGAGTGTGATGGACCGTGGACTGTGAGCCACAAGACTGGTAGTTCAGGTCCACCAGTCGCTCAGTGGGAGAAAGATGCGGCTTTCTGTTCCTGTGAATATTTAAAACCTCAGAAACCCTATACAGGGTTGCTGTGAGTTGGAAGTGACTCAATGTCACCTAACAAAAACTATGTTTCTACCGCCTGACACTAGGACCAGAGCTCTATATTTGGAGAGTTTTCAACCACACATTAATTCGGCAAAGCAGGTAGAATAGCAATTTCCATTTGACATGTGAAGAAACTGAAGTTGTGAGAAATCAAGTGATGCATTCCAAGTCATACAGCTGGTTAGTGGTAGAACAAGAATTAGAACCAGGTCAACTGATTCTTATTTCAATGAACTTTCATCACACTACAGTCTCTTTCTCTTCTCTCTCTCTTTTTTTTTTTTTTTACTACAATCTCTTTTATAAGGGACATCTTAAAAACTCTAAAGGACATCTTTTGAAAAAGCTGTAAGCTTGTTTTCGTAGACTGACTTGAACAACAAGGCTCAAGAGCCTGACTGTAGTTATAGTTAGAATTAACTATAATGTAGAATAATAAACAGAAAGTTATTTGATAATCTACTGGGCATGTTATGGTTCCTAGGCCCTTTGAAAGAATCAGAAGTATGTACTAACACAAGGATGGAGCCTAGAATTTGTTATTTTATTGCTTTAACTACAACAGGAAGACACTGAAGAGCAAATGTCTGATTAATAGGGTCCTAATGTGTGCCTGTTCCATGCGACCCTGCGTCTCCTAAAAAAAAAACTGAGAATGATTCACAGCGTATGGAAGGAAGATCTTGTTTATCAACTGACCATGATACACTTCCCAACTGAAGAACTTTATGGGATTGACTTGATTCTCAAGATTTCTGGACTTATTTTAATCATATAGTAAAAAATAATTCAAATCCAAGTATCAAAATATGACTAAACATATTTCAAAATAGGATCTTCTTGATAAACCAAACCGAAGATGTGAAAGCTTTTGGCATCTAGAAGATGAAATTAATTAGAAAAATCTTAGAATATGATTTGACAGAAGAAATCTCATAAAGAATGGTTACAATAACTGTGACTGAGGAGTCACGGGGGAAGAAAGCTTATATCGAGCCTTTACTTGAAAATCTTCTCCACACTAAGTATACAGAAGAAACTGACCCCAGATTTCTAAGTCATATTGTCTGACTGGGAAAAAAAATAAATACTAGGAGTGCAAGAAGAAATAGAAAATAAGAGTACACTAATAAATAATTCTATCATATACTGTTGTTGCTGCTGTTAAATGCCATCCCGTTGGTTCCAACTCACAGCGACCCTGCGTAGAGCTTCCAAGAGCGGCTGTGCATCTGAACCGCCACCCTTTTCCTACACTGCAACACCATATCATAAATAGAAAACACATTTTAAGAGAAAAGTCAGTGTTATTATAGTAAAAAATTATATGACAAATTAAATTATAAAAGCATCCAGGACATTTCCTCCCTGAACACAATAAAACAAAAAAAATCAAGCTTGATTAGTCACAAACACATTAAATTGACTGCTAAAGAATTAATTTTTTTAAGTTTAAACTACATTAAATATCTGTGCTAAAATCCTTAATCTTGTAAGGAATATAAAACAGTTGAAATTAAAAATGAACACCAGACTAAAAATTATGATCACTTTACAGACATTTTGGCAATCATAATTTTACAGTTTAAAACTACAGCTATATAACGTCATTTCCTCAGAGACACAGTTGTCTAAACCCACTAGTGATAGGAATACTGACTTACTTTGTATGACACTGAGTCCAAAGAGGTGACAGTCCTTTAGCCTGAGCAGGTCACACACCTGGACCAGCAACTGATGACACAGAATTTTAACCTGTAGGAGGGGAAAAAGCAAGATATGAACAGCGATTCAATTGTTGTTGCTGTTTCCACATGTCATCAAGTTGGTTCCAACACAAAGCGACCCTAGACAGACTTTCCAAGGAGCAGCTCATGGGTTTGAACCCCCGACCTTACAGTTAGCAGTCCTGTGATTATCCTACAGCACCACACCAGAACCCGGAACAGTTCAATTAAGTCTTCACAATGAGCCACAATAAGATAATTTAATGTAGTCTACGTATACATCTTGAAAGGACAAGCTGACTCAAACAAATCAACTTTTGGTTTATGAAAATCACTTTTATTCACAGCTGTGTTTCAGTGATTATCACAGTATCAGTTTTTACAACACAGTAATAAAGTATCAATGCAACCTTGCACAATATTCATAAATCTTATGATACAAGGACATGGAGTTCCTCTAAAGCCATGGTGTACGGTAAATGAATCTTTCAGAGTACCCCAAGAACAAATCACTAGTCAGTTATCAAAACTGTTAATTGAGTAATAAGCATCTTTTCAAGGACCAGTTCTCTTGATGGTCTAAACAAAACTGTCACATATTGCCTACTTCTATTTTGATAAATCATTTTTTGTCTAATATCTTCTTAATATTGAAACCAGATTGCCTTTCTGAGTCTTAATATAATTCAAATTCAAGGCGTACAAGAAGAAATAGAAATATTATATATATATATAATATATTATATAATATATTAATACACAATATTAATTTGTAACCATGGATAATTTAAATAATAGAATAGTCTTTTTAAAGATACAGATTTAACATTTACTCAAATGTTTAATGAAGTATTTTTGTTTGTTTGTTAAGTACTTTTCAGAAATTTGGTGATTCAGAATCACCAAAGCTTATGAGAATCAAGATAGACTTTAAGAGTCTATTTATTCATTTTATAGAAGTAGAAAATAAAACCTGGACAGCATAAAGTCATGTCGCTAATAATGGCAAAGACAAAAACTCACAACTGTATTCATATGTGCAATAAAATGTATTTATAGATTAATATGTACAATGTTAACAGATTATGATCTTTACACCTTCTGTGCACTTATCAACATACTAGGTTTCAAAGACTAGGCTGTGATACGAAAATCAGCATTATATAAAAATGAAGGATGATTATATTAGATACAAAAATGGAGAACAACATAAATACACTCTGCCAAGTTATATCCTTACATAACTGTCAAACCTCTGAGAATCACGACCCTGCTTAACTGACATGTAACTTTAACGATCACAGCCAGTTACTCTTGCTTCACACCTCAGCATTTGATAGTATCAGACATATGCTGTGAATGAACAAAATAGATATAGATATATATATTTTACTATTTTCATAAATGTGAAATGTTAGATAATGAGATAGTCAATAAGTGAAGAGTTGTTGTTAAATGCCTTCAAGTAAGTTTCAACTCACAGTGACCCTGTAAAGGGTTTCCAAGGAGCCGCTGATACCGGTTTAAACTGCTGACCTTGTGAAGAGTAGATGCATAAAAATAACATGTGGCTTTCCTCCTATGATTTATATTAATAATTTGCAAATCCTTTTTTAAATAAGCGTATCAATTATGTTTCAATTATTATAAATTCTAAACCAGTTAATTCTGAGTTAAAGATGTTTTATTACATTTTAATATCAAACAGGAATCCTGGTGTGGTGCTGGACAGCAAGGTCAGTTTGAACTGGTGGTTCCTTGGTTTCCCTCTTTGGAAACCCTATACAATGTCGCTTGGGTCAGAACAGACTCGACAGCACTTACCAACAATATGAAACATGGAATTGGAAAATAAAACCAAGCCAAAGTCCCTCAGTAATTGAAAGCAAAACATTTCAGAACTGGTGATAATTCCAACTGCAGTAAGAAAAATATGTTTACTGTTCTTTTCCACATTCATTATGAAATGACAACCAAAGGAACCACTTCATCTATTGGAAAGAACAGAAGATATTTAAAGTCCAAGTAGCCACCAATTCATTCACTTAGAAGCACCAGGAACTCAGTGAAGTGAAGACAGCTCTTTATGTTCATGATATACATATTGAGTACATATAGCAGGTACTCAGTAAATGGTGAATGCATGCCAAGAGTCATTTGAGTTCTTGATTGCTCGTTCCATGAGTATTGATTGTGGATCCAAGCAAAATTAAGTCTTTGACAACGTCAATCTTTTCTCCATTTATCATGATACTGTTTACTGGTCCAGTTGTGAGGATTTTTGTTTTTACGTTGCTGTACATTCCACATCTGACTCAATGGCATATAACAACAACAACAACATTTCATATCAAAAGCTGTAGTCTTTGATCTGATGTTGATCACTAAGTACTTTTTAAGTCCTCTTTGCTTCTAGCAGGCCAAAGTTACGTCATCTGCATATCACAGGTTGTTAGTGAGCCTTCCTCCAATCTTGATGCCTCCTTCTTCTTCATAGAATCCAGCTTCTTGAGTTATTTGGTCAGCATACAGACTGAATTGGTGAAAGGATACAACCCTGGCACCCACACCTTTCCTGATCTTAAACCTTTCAGTATCCGCTTGTTCTGTTCAAATAACTGCCTATTGGTCTAAGTACAGGTTCCTAAGGTCTAAGTACATGATGAAATATTCTGGAATTCCCAATCTTTGGAATGCTATCATAGTTTGCTATAATCCATATGGTTAAATGCTTTTGCATAGTCAATAAAGCACAAGTAGCCATCTTTCTGGTATTCTGTACTTTCATGCAAGATCCATGTGATGTCAGCAATGATGTCCCTCATTCTGTGTCCTCTTCTGAGTCTAGCTTGAATTTCTGGCAGCTCCTTGTTGATGTATTGCTGCAACCATTTTTGAATTATCTTTAGCAAAATTTTGCTTGCATGTGATATTAATGGTATTGTTGGATGATATTCACATTCTGTTGGATCATCTTTCTTTGGAATGGGTGCAGATACGGATCTCTTCCAATCAGTTGGGCAAGTAGTTAGTTGTCTTTGAAATTCCTGGACATAGATGAGTGAGTTCCTCTAGTGCTGCATCAGTTTGTTGACACATTTCAATTTGTACTCCATAAATTCCTGGAGCTTTGTTTTCACCAATGTCTCCATTGTAGCTTAGACTTCTTCCTTCAGTACCATCAGTTCTTGATCAAATGTTACCTCTTGAGATGGTTGAACACTGACCAATTCTTTTGGGTACAGTGACTCTGTGTAATCTATCTCTTTTGATACTTCTGCGTATTTCAATATTTTGCCCGTTGTTGTTGTGTGCTATTGAGTCGAATACTACTCATAGTGACCTTGTACAGAGTTTCTGAGAGGAGTTGATGGGTTTGAACTGTCTACCTTGCATGCAGTGGTGGTTAGCAGTCCAGAGATTATCCTACAGTACCACACTTGTGCTTCTTTTCTACCCACAGAATTCTAACAAAACTGAAATTTTTTTTTCGTTCTTTCAACTTGCAAAATGCTGAGTGTGTTCTTTCTATTTGGTTTTCTAACTCCAGGTCTTTGAAATTTTGGAAAAAAAAAATTTTTTTTTTCTTTTCAGTTCTTTCAACTTGAGAAATGCTAAGTGTTTTCTTTTATTTGGTTTTCTAACTCCAGGGCTTTGCAATTTCATTTTAATACTTTTGTCTTCTTGAGGTGCTCTTTGCAAATTTCTGTTCAGCTGTTTCACTTCATCATTTCTTCCAGTCGCTTTAGCTTATATATATATGCTCATGAGCAAGTTTCAGAGTCTTCTAAAATTCATTTAGCCTTTTCTTTCTTTTTCGTCTTCTTAATGTCCTTTTGCTTTCTTCCTGTATGCTGTTCTTGATGCCATCCCACAATGTCTCTGGTTTTTGGTTATTAGTGTTTAACACATCAAATCTGTTTTTGAGATGGTCTCTAAATTTAGGAAGGATATAATCAAGGTCATGGAGTCCTGGTGTGGCTTTTTAAATCGCAAGGCTGGTGTTTCAAAGTCACCAACCACTCCTTGGAAACCCTACAGAGGGTTGCTATGAGTCAAAATCAACTTTATGGCACTTAACAACAACAACAACAAACTCATATTTTGATTCTCTTGGACTTGTTTAAATTTTCTTCGGCTTCAGGCTGAACTTGCATCTAAGCAACTGATGGTCTGTTTCTCTGGCCTTGTTTTGGCTGATGATATTAAGTTTCTCCATTGTCTCTTCCCACAGGTGTAGTGAACTGAATTCCAGGGAATTCCATCTGGTGTGGTCATATGTATAGTCATTGTTTATGTTGCTGAAAAAAGCATTTGCAAATGATTAATCCATTGGTCTTGCAAAATTCTATCTTGTGAGCTCCAGAATAATTTCTATCATTAAGGTTGTATTTTCCAACTAGTGATTGTTCCTTTTTGCTTCCAACTTTCACAATCCAATCATCTATAATTATCCTGCATTTTGATTACATGTCTGATCAATTTCAGACTTAAGACATTGGTAGAATTCTTCAATGTCATCCTTATTGGCTTTAGAGGTTGGTGTATAAATTTGAATAATAGTGGTAGTCACTGGTCTTCCTTATATTCTATCACAGGCAACACTGTACTTCAAGATCTTTTTAAAAAAAAATAAAACTTTTTATTGTGAATTAAGTGAAAGATTACAGAGCACATCATCAATTTTACATTCAACAAATTATATACTTTGCTTCATTACAATAACTATAATACCCTTAGCAAGTTACTACTCACTGTAAGTATTGCATTCCTCCCTGTGTCTCCCTTTGTCTTTCCTCTACTACGCTCCCTCTTGTTGTACATTGCTTGCCCTGTCATCCATGCTAAAATGTGTCTATCCTCTAGTCTATGAATAATTTTCCCTCCCAACTTCCTCCTGTAACCATCAGAGATAGTTTTTTTTTATTAAGAAAACCTTATCTTAACTTTTTACAACATTGGTCTCACACAGTATTTGCCCTTTTGTGACTGACTAATTTCACTCGGCATAATGTCCTCCAGGTTTAT